ATAACAGGCAATTATTTTAGCAAACAATTATTTTAGTGTTTCCTGATTAACAGCCAATGGTCAAAAGCTTCGAGACAATTGAAATATTACTAAAACAAGCCATTTAAAACGCATGATGCTTAATAGTTGCTGCGTCTCATACCGATTTTTTTATTTCTTAATTAAAAAAATATAATTTATAAACATTGATAAATAAAAGTACACTTTTGCTGGCCTACTTTTATCCTTATTTTCAGTTGATATTAAAATTTCTAGTGGTAAATACCATCGCGGCAAACAAGAAAATTTGTTAGTATTTTATTCCCACTCAACAATATACAGACAATATAATAGAAACGACTGCTAACAGTGGAAAAATGGTATCCCCCATTCGACATCGACATTTTATCCCGACAAATAATTTTATCTTAATTTATTTCTGTTTACCATATGAGGCAAACATGTGTTTAGGCGATAAAGAAAAAAAGTCAAATAGAAATAAATACACTATGGACATTGTGAACGTGTTGTTCTTCGTATATCTGATCAAAGATCTATAGTCGAACATGAAATGAGCACAATCCTTGTTCACAATGAGGTCCAGATAACTCGCGGAGACAAGACCGCTCTATCCCGACATCGGTTGTTAATGAAATTGGTCTATTACCATAAGATAGGGCCTCGCTCTACATCGCCACGTACATTTGTACTTCGATAACGACGAGGTATATATCTTTTTAATGTACGGCGTACTTTAAAAAAGGCGATAATAAAATGGTTCACTTTAATTACTAAGACGTTAAACCCCGGCTCGAACTTTCATTTTAAATAATCTCGCAATACTTCTGAATGGTAAATATTTTATTTGAATAAAATTATCAGTATTTATAAACTTTAACCATCTCTATGTTCTATTAGTATTGGATCAAAAGTAAAACGAATTACTTTTTATATTACACTTAATTTAAAATGTGATTTTTATAAAAAAAATTGAAAATATTGAGAAATTAATTGAAATCAAATAATCATATAGCTAAAATATTTAAAAAAAAGTCTCCAAAACATTAAAAATACTGGCGACCGTGACTGGTATATATTAGACCAAAGATCGCAATTACATGAAAATTTTATTAAAAAGACAATAAATATCATTTCGTTTTATCCAACCTAACATTTACCTGATGTCTTAAAAGATCTAAAGATCTCATGTCCTTTACTAATAATATATTATAAACTGAATATACCGTAAAGTGTGAATTGGCCAACTTTCCCTTTAAATGACCAGCTCATTTAACTGAATTAATATCTATAACAGTAAATCTAGATAGTCACACTAAACTCTAGCCTCACAATTTATCACCAAAGTATGATTATTGAGAAACGATCTGCATTTATATTGTTGAGTAATGAAATGAAGCTTGCCGGTATGTTTAAAAAAAGTAAAAGACATACCTATGTCTTTTACTTTTTTTACACATACATACGTTCTTCAGCAATTTCAAGCAGGCTGATAAATGTAATTCGACATGATAAGTACGTATTACTCTTCGGGAGAGCTGAGCCTTGCACGGAAAACCATTAAGTCCGACGAGGGACATTATTGTAAGACAAAAATTTAAATCAATCACATGAAGACAAGAATGCGGGAACTTAAAGTTTTATGCCTCCGTTTATCTGCTACTGTTACGCATTTTCACGTATCCAAAGACTCGTACGATACGTCACAGACTTTTTATAAGTGACGGATCAGCACGTGATCAATATTTATTTTTAAATACGTAGGTATTATTTAAAAATAAATATTTCCATTGCGTTAAATAAATTATGTTAAAAAAGTTTTAAAGTAAATTATGTTATTTTAGTAAGTTCAATTATTTGAAAAAATAACGAAATTACTAAATACATATAATCACGTTATTACAATTTAAACTTCTGCAAACAAAAAATTTTATATACCACGATAATCACACATAATGCTAGGTTCCCAACCAAAAGTTAGACCGTTATATTTCATCACGCGATTTAAACTGGTAGTTACTAGTTGAATAGAAGGTCAGAGGATTAGGTTCTTTCCGAAATTCCCTTTCAACATACTATGTTATAAGCTATAATATTGTTCATGAAGTGCGTATATCATTTGGTCTTTATTTAAGTTAGTAAATTTTTAATTAATTTTTAAAACGTTAATTACCGAATTACGAAGTTATGCTCCGCAGTTTTCATAAGATCAAATAATTTTTTAAGGTTAATTTTGGGCTCCGTACCCAAAGGGTAAAACGGAACCCTATTACTGAGACTCCGCTGTCTGTCTGTCTATCCGTCGGTCCCCAGGCTGTATCTCATGAACCGTGATTCTTAGACAGTTGAAATTTTTCAGATGATGTATTTCTGTTGCCACTTTAACAATAAATACTAAAAAACAGAATGAAAAATATTTAAGTGGGGCTCCCATACAACAGGCTTGATTTTATAGGTAAAGACTTGATTTTTGCCGTTTTTATAGAAAATGATACTGAACCTTTTGTGCGCGAGTCCGACTCGCATTTAGGGCGGAATTAAAAATTCTAGGATCTACAATGAAGATGAAATTTTAAATTGTAAATTTTTGTAGGTAATGAACATAAACTTTTTGTTTATTGATCTTCGAAAATTTACAAGACCATATTGTTTAAAAAACTTGGTACATATTTAATGTACACTTCGCATGGATGGCGCAATAACTTAGATGATCACCTGGCGAACTGTTGCGCAACTTTTTTTTATGTGAAAAGTTGTCAAGTGAGCATCTACGAAACCTGATGAATTTTGTTGAGGAATTAGATTAGTTGACAACTTTTAAAAAAGCGGTTCCCGGATACTTCAACTCCACGCCGGTCTTCACCACCGGTCACCTCTACGGAAGAAACTGTCTTATTCGTGCAACGGAGGCTGTTGCGTGGAACTACCTCCCGCCCTCCCACAGTCTAAGCAAGTTTGTTCCCCACACGAGGCAGATATTTTTTTCTATCGTTAATAATAGTGTTAATACACTATGTACAATAAAATAAATCATAAGGTACATTAATTGACGACGATCCACCATTAAATGAACAATCTCGAGTCACGTGCGACAATGGGCACAGTCCGTTGAGCCACGCGCCGCCGGGGCCCGCAGACGTCGCCCGACGTGTCCCTAGGCGGCCTGCGACTGAAAGCCGTAATTAAACTAATTATTTATTATTAGCCTCACTCACGTCCGCTTTTTCGCTCTGGGAAAAAGCTAAGTTCCGATCTCGACGGCAATTTGTGACAGCCTGTAACTGCTCGTGTATCGATTAGCTTTTTCTCGAAAGTACCAATTAAACAGTCTAAAGTTGAGTGTAAAATGAACGTAGGTACTTATATTTTCATTGATATTTCTTTTCGTATCTTGCATATTAATTAATGTCTTTGCTCTACGCAACGAAAGGTACGAGCTTTTTACAACATATTATCGATGTTCAATTTTTTTTACGTTATTAACACATAATGGAATATAAAAAAGCCATGTGTCTATCAAACAATGGCACATTTCTACGAAAAGAACATCCTGAAGTTATATCCATTGTATGAAATCACTTAAAACAAGTGGGGACGGCAAAAGACTTACTTGATGGAGCTTCCTCGGCGGATATGGAAGAAAAATAAACTGTGTATCCGACACATTTTTAAACACCATATACTCGTACCGTATTCGACACTGTAAGCAGTAATATTTCAGTGGAAGCTTTTACAGGAAGAATGAAATGTTCGAATATTTGTAACACTATAATTTTTTTAAAGATTTCACAAAATATCTCTAAAAATGAAAGCAAAATTCATAAACAGAATAATTTAAAACAAGTCCACTTTTTACTCTTACTTATTACTACTTGACAAAGAAATTAATCATTCGAATGCGGCTGGATAAAAATTTAAAAAATCACATATTATTATATATAAATACTTTATCAACATTAGTAATTTTTCTACGAAGTAAATTTTACAAATTTACAGTACCTAATAAAATGTTGTAAAGAGGGATTACGCTTGCTGTGAATCATTAAAATGTGAAAAGCTTAAATGTAAACTGTTATCATAATACTTCGAAGTGCGAGATGTTTATTGACGAGCCAGGTTTTTTCGGGTTCACAATCGACGCCGGAACATCCGAAGAACACGATGACAATCATACCGCAGCTAGCGCGCGCCGTGTCCGGTTCAAGCGCGTCTTGAGAGACTTGCGTCGGAGTCGCATAAACGGGATATCGAAGAATAACAATCAGCGCGTCCGACATAGTTCCACAGCGACCCACAATTAGAAATCACTTATGTCGAGCCCACTCGAGGGGAGGTGCGCGCATTCGGCGCCAAGGTCGGTCAGTTTCCGGTCGGCGTGAGGCAAGTTCCGGTGTTAGGAAACAATATCGCCCGGCTAATTGTTCGTGTTGCCACACTCCGGCGTTTTATTGCCGCCGCCGAGGAATCCGATTGTCTTCAGATTTGAGTTCGAAGTTTAAAAAGCTTATGAGCTTCAAGAATACTGCGGGACATACGGGGATTTTCATGTGGCTTCGTGTGGCTTCATGAGCTCATTGCGTTTTCTAAGTGATTATTCTAAGTGGTTTTAATTAGATCAATAAACTAGTATTTTTCTTGTCATAATGGAAACAACTAATCTCTCATGGCTTGAATCGAGTAGTTTGCTCAAAACTCAGGAATCCCCCCCCAAAAGTGACCTGTCGTCGTGAAAACACAAATAATTATATTTGTTGTTAGTAACAGGGAATCTCATTAGTGGACCTTGATTTCAAACATGCCTCGTAAAGCAGAAATAGAATAAGATACCGTGTGGTTTCGACTGTATCAACGCGAACGCCACGATAATGCAACCCGTCATGGGCTCTTGAAAATAAATGAATTTACCTAGTTATAAATGACCACTGTCCAAAGACATTTTCCATCAGAGGTTACGTCACTAGCTTTACAAAGTTTAGTTTACTAAAACTCAACCGTACCCGCAGACCCTCGCCAATGGAGCGAGGCGGCGGTCGCTGCGTGGCTGCGCTGGGCGGCCCGGGAGTTCTCGCTGGAGGGCGTAGCCCTGCAACAGTTCGCGCGCGCCCAGGGCAAGGACATCTGCGCGATGGGCCGCGACGAGTTCGTCGCGAGGGCGCCCGCCTTCATGGGCGACATACTGTGGGAGCACCTGGAAATTCTGCAGAAAGGTACGCCCCAACTAAAGCCCATTCTAATACTGTCAACAACATCCTATGTGTTGACACATCAATGATAGTCATGGTATATGATACACATATTCGATATACCATTAAATGAAGCACATGCTTATTTATTTCATTAAATTATATCGACTTGTCTTACGATACTAGTTCGAATGTTGAGATGTTGCACTATAATAGAGTTAATTATTTTACATGAAGATTTAAGGGTGAATTTCTTTGCAGACGTTGAAAAGGAACGTTCCCTGCTGGCGAACGTGCCGCCAAACATGTACGAGAGCAACGTATGCCTCCCAGAGCTCTCCGACTACATCCCGCCGCCCGCCCACCACTACAACAACAACAATACCGGTAAGTAGAAACCGCCTGTGCAACCGCGTAAGTCTTTTCGCTCTAAAGGTTCAGCGAGGGACAGACAATGATTGATGGTGCAATAGAAAGTAAGTATAAATACATTAAGTACAAATGCTTACATCCTTTAAGCTTTTCAGAAGTTGATGATTTCCAGTTTATAACATGACGTGACACGTCTTTGAAATTCCACTCTCAGTTCTCGTACAAATAATGAAAGAAGAAAAATCTTCTAAACTAAAATACTTCAAAAACCTAAATTTCCTACCCTAGTCACAGACGCAGAGCGAAGATGCTAATTTATAACCCACCGATCCAAACATAATCCCCATTGCATAATCTGTGAGCTGTCGCTATCAGCCAATAAAGATAAGCGAGTCGGCGTCTTATCTACGGAGCGGTAAAGCCAGTCTCATTAAACTACTATTCGAGATAACCCAACAATTACGTTCCAGTTAGTGGTTACAGTTAATAAAGTCGATGCTATAAAGAAAAAAAAAACGGTGTTATCGCTATGACAACCGAGATCGTATGTAAAATTTGACGCGCGTATCTGTCACGATCAAGTTTTGCTTATCTATTTACAATGTTCTCAAATGAACTATAGAGACACGGGCCACCATGAATAAGTGACGATTAATCTTGTGAAAAAGCTTCCACATTAAATCTAATTACCCGATATCACCAAATCGATAGCGTCAAGGGCCATAACATCGATAAGGTTTAAAAGCTACGTAAGATGGAATTTTTCTAAGGGAAGCGTCATACTCGGATAATCGTTTTGGAATTTAAAGTATTACAGTTTAATGTGAAAAATCTGTCTTCATTAGCATCAGTGCATTATATATACTGTATTATACTAAGCTTATTTATAGGCTATTAGAGATAAGATTCGGAATCATGGAATTCTACCGTAAACTGTTACATGTAGTTATTTTTATCTAACGTAAAAGTATCATAAAATTAAAACGGACGTTGTTCCAAAGTTATTCGTGGAGCCCCTTACACTTTACATTCAAATGATGATGAGCTAGGCATGTTTTATACGAAAATGCATTCAACGTTACCTCTCCTGTTTAACTGAGCTTTAAACCTATGATTCTGTCAAAATCGTGTCGCACGGACGAAGTTGTAATTCGCTACAGTGCTGCATCGCATCTAGACGACGTTGAGAATAATGAATCAAAATTTTACAATCGCTTGGTGTCTGGGTAATATCAAGCGTAAAAGCTCATTTCCATTAGATGTAAAGCGTGTTTATTGCGCTGTAAATCATAGCGGCCGGTGTTTTGACTGTGGCGAACGTTGCTGCCGAAATAATAAATAACCCGAAGAGACAAGGTGCCCCCTCCGGGTCGTTAGCACGGGTGGTCCCGTGGACATCTCAACAACTAATTTACACTTCCATCGTGTGTTTCGCGTCCATCATCCTGATATATATGCGGTATCGATGTGATGCTTTTAACTCAATTCTATTTTAACACCGCCGTTAGCGGGGGATTATACACTTAACCACTCATGTTTTACCTTATTTAGTAAAATGTGCAAAGCTTACAAAGAAGTGCTGCATGAACTGGAATTTATTGTGTATGTATACGATTTGTATGGTATTTGGAACGGAACACGAAGTTCGGTGAAAAAGCATACAATTTATAAAATATTCTTATCTTATTTAGATACTGCTATATTTATTACGTATTTTTTAAACCTTAACATAAAATAAGATTCTTAGCTGGGCATCGAAAAGTTGTTTACAACAAGACGCGAAACTTAAAGCAAAAGAGAATGCTGTACATGCTGACAAGAGAAGAAAACAATTTTCAACGTCAGAACAATACATAATACAACTTAGAATCGGTTATACGAATGTGCAAAATCAAGAATCCGATCGGAGAAACGCTCGTTACATACGTTTTCCAGTCGGCCGCGCCTGGCGCAACAGCGCGACCTTGGCGCCGTTTTTCCGCTCTCTTTCAGCGCATCTGAGGTCCGTCATCGGAGTCTTGTGCACTGTGCAACTTCTACAACTACGACCGTGTCATCTGCGCCGTTTCAATTACATGTCACAACACCCGTGTGTTCAGGATAGTCTACGGGTTCTGCCTTCGATGGGGGTTTAACAGTCTACGGACTTAGAGCGCTAAATTTTGTTACATAAAAGTGTCACAACACATTGCTATTACATGTCTCACGATCTGAATCGATTCGCTGCAGAACTCCTTACTTGCCGAAAAGTCCTCTCGTCCGAATTGTTTTCGTTTAAACCCTGACATTTTCCCGAGGTACGATTTCAAAAAGATTTATTTAGGGTTATTTAAATACAATGTAAGGTTAAGTTGCAAGAGGTAATTGTAATGTTAGAATCGTTCGAGTTATTATAATGTTATTTATAAAGGTTTAACACACGTTTGTATGAATACGAAGTTGCCAATGTCCGGTCGATGCGCAAAAAAACAAACGGTAAATAATAAGACGTTGGCAAACACGCTGAACACTAACCCCTACCTACGCTGCCCTCACTTTCGGTCTCACTTCGTGCACGCGTACCATTCAGCGACCAGTCTTCGAGCACGGCCACGCTGTTGATTTTTTAACCACGACAAGCTAACAATAACTCTGTGATTTTAATACATATAGTTCTCTGTACAAAACTACCATATCAGCGTGACTTTTGTTTTATTTAACAAACACCAGTGGTGTTAACGCCAGGTCAATAATTTCAAATATAATCCGTGTGTCTGACCGCCGGGTCTAAGTGCCAGTGTTGCGTGTGCCAATAAATATGGGAGACCTGGATTCTGGTTAAAACATGTTCTTACACCCGAGCTCCCGCCCCAGGGACAACACTGAACTGGACCCGTTAATCGTCTGGAGAGGTGAGTGACAAAAAAGCGTAGAATATGAACCTTAACAGTTCAACATGTAAAGGAACATGGAAGGTTTCGCACGGTGGCACTGAGTACCCAAAAAAGCTTCACCACATCACGGGACCGCCAAAAGTTTCATCAAAATTGGGCCAGCCGATTTGGCTTTCATACACAACATAAATTAAAAAAATCGATTTATACATATGTACATATAGACAGATGTCAATTCCTATTACCATAATAGTGGCAGCTCATTAAGCATAATATGTTAGGGTTAAATCAAACAATATTTATTATATTATTTGGTTTGCTACGAACGTTTGCTACGAAAAACTTCAGTTGTAATACCTGGACGGGCACGAGAAAAATGTAAAAATGTCCCTTTTACTCAAAATCTAGCAAGAGCTTGATAACTTGTTACGTATTTTTATTCGCATCCGAGTTTGTTTTAACGTAACACCTGTGCTTTCAAAAGGACTGACAAATTTGAAGATTAAATTTGTGATTTTTTTTTTGTTGAACCGTTCAATTACTTATTTTCGCCAATAAACATTGTCTTTAATTTTTGTGAAGAAATATTGACTTAACAACAAGAACACACCATTGAAATAATTAATAGCATTCATTTTTTTATAATAACGGCGCCTTGCTACATACTAGCTGAATTCAATCGAGCCGAGTTCATTAAGAGATAAAGAGTCAGACTATTGATGTAATGAATAAACACCCAGACCTAGAACAATTATTTGGGCATCACACAAATACTAGTCCCGTGTGCGAATCGAACCCACAACACTGCGCCAATAGCTTAGCAACCGCTCCGCCGTGGAGAACTCGCGTTAAATTTGTACTAAGCACTCGTGGACCGCATGAAGGCTAAGAATAAAGCGGCGTAGTTTCCAACGACGGCACCGATCGCTGTGTCGGCCCGCGGCGCGCGATATGAGTTTTCACGTCCTCGCGTCAAACCGAGCGTTGCCAACGTATGCAACTGGGCCGCGCGGCTGAAGGTTAACGCACAAAACACACGCTGTACACGCTACTTGTTCACAGTTTACGCAATCGCGCTCATATTAATAAGGCGTACACAGTAATGCATTGGTGCAATTCGGAGGCATCCGCGGTGTCGCAAGGCATTCGTTCGCGGTGCATCCTCGCGTTGCGCAGCCTAATCGCCGGACGTTCAGCTCGGAACTGCGCTTTGCGAAATCGCGACGAGCTCCCATGGCCGAGTTCGTCGTATCGCACGGCGTCCTATCGAGCAGGCTCCGGCTTCTTGACGGTTCGATAGGACCGTTAGCGTCTAGAACTGAAAACCTTTGTGAGCGCAACGTTTAAGAGAAAAGTGAGGGATGTAAAGAACTCTTTTCGTTCGAAAATGTAAAGAACGTACCTTTAATGGCCGCTTAATGAATCCCAATGCGTCCTTAAAGCGCGACGTATCAAATGTAAATCAGGATGACAGGGCCCATCCTTATTAGCGACCGTTTACGAGCCGCGCTAACAGGTGGCTTATGTTGGCACCAATCATAATAATTTATTTCCATTTAGCGGTACGGCACCTTCAATCTGCGGCGATAAACTCGGTGACGCCCGGCATCCTGCCCTACGGTGATTTATCGACAAGCCCAGAAGCCCCGCCCTATACAAGGCGAGCACCAGATATCGTTACCTCGTAACGTATGCAATTGGACGAGTTTTTATCGCCTATGCAAATAGCGCGGCAAAAAATCGCCGGCCCATTAGCCAGGCGCGCGGCAAACGGAGAAACCAACACCGCACGCCCTGCAACCGTGAAGTGTTGTCAGGGAAAATATTGAGCTTTCCAAGTTATCGATAAAAAGATAGGTGTCGTTCCGAGCGGCCACATCCGGCCGCCATTGTGCTTCAGCCGGCGCACTTCCGGCGCAACCCGATATACACTCCTGCGCACGTGCGCGACCTTTTCAAATTTCGTATTACGAAATTCGGAACAAAGGATGTGAGAAGGATGGGGAATCAATAAAACTGACAATGTACTTAAGCGACAAGAACAGAAAACCCGTCTATCATTACACGTCCATAATAACATATGAAGTGTAATCTAAGGAATTCACTTCATTATATTTTAAATTAAACTATTATACGCACTTTATTGCTTTTAATGTTGATTTTTATCGCATTACACTTCGTACACTAATAGCATTCATGGTCACACACATTGTAGTAAAAGGTTACAGAAATTTGTTAAGAAAACGACTATGCTGTGTTTGCTACGGATGTTTTTTTAATATATAACAAACAAATTCCACTCAATTTGACTTTACAATATTGATCTAACATTCAATTCAACCGTTATGATGCTATCTAAACGTGACATAGGAACAATCGGGCTATTTCACCATTGTCAATATATTGGGTAATACATAATACGCACTTACGCCGAAGAAGGCAAAGGAATACTTAAGGGTAGGCACACGAAAAGAGCAAAGGGCGCTCCGTTGTACGCGTTTGCATTGTGAATACACCAAACTCTGAGGGGCCCTCGTCCTTCAATGAGCCCTTAACAAGGACTCTCCGGGGGACGTACGGTCGTACAATCAGTTCTCTCCATTCACCTACTTCACGTGGCCTTGATTTGAATCCCGATCCTGATTCGATTGTCGTCGTCGAATTTCAATCAAGGGGAAGGGTCAGCCAGATCACAAAGGGCTTTAATATTCAAATTCGATTTTATCGCGGACGATTTATTTTCGATTCGGTTCAATGAAAGTCCTCTATGCGCCGATACGGTGGTCGGGAGCAATTTAAAAAGGCGTTCATTTATAAATTATTTTATAAATGTATACTTATTGATCCCTTGTTGATTTCCACTCTGTTTATATTTTACACGTAGGACATTGTTATTGGTTTTCTATTATTTAAATTTAACAATTGCCAATTACCCATTAGTAGTTTTCAAAAGCTCGTTTAGTCCGCTATCACAATTATGTCTATTAATAACATTATTATCAGAGTTCGGTATATACTCAGACCGCGTTTCGAATATCAATGGAAATGTTGACTCCACACCGTCCAACACTTGTTTCGCATTTAATCGCTGCAGACCGGATGATTTTGCGTATTCGTAGAATTAAGAACACACAATTTCAGATAACATTTTATCTGTGACACAGTACGCTATTTATATTTCTATTGAACTATTCTACTTTATTATCATGTTTCATTTAATCCGTAGTAACGTTTGATAACTTCGTTATGCGATCAACGTGGTACTTTAAATGATCGACAGCGCGTTGTCTTCTCTCGTCTGAAAGATAGAAATACAAGAGCAGCATGTCCAAGATGTAAATTGAATATAACACAAAAAGTAATATATCTTGAATGATGATTCAAATTGAACCTTAACTTAAATTTTGATGTAATATAGAACATTATCGGGACATAATGCGGATTACATTTTTGCGCAAACATGAAATCCGAGACGTAAATTTGGGATAACGCCATAAGTACATTAAGTCGAAATAGTTTTTTTGTTGAAACGCACTGTTCATTCTTTACGAATCGCGCAGGTGTGGACACACCTTGCCCGGTACGGGGTACATCACTAACGCTGTGGGAACATAACAAGTGAGAGGTTTTCGCCAATCCGGCGTGCTTTAATAATCCCCGAGAATTCGCTCAGCGTATATCGTATTACTACAGTTAAAGGAGCCCGAGGTGCCGACAAAGACCGCCGCCGGCACAACTGAAGTGCCGAATTCAATTAATTGCCATATTCGCAGCGCTCCCCACGCCCGTTGTAGGAATCCCCCGCAAAAACAAATATTTGAGGGGCATTCATTACCCGTTATTAAGTGGCGACCGCTTCAATCGTTCGACGATTCCGCGTCGCTGAACGAGTACAGATTCACAATTTTAAAAGGCGTAGTATTCTTCTCTGAAAGCTTTGTAAAAATATCACTAAGTATTCACTTCCAAGCATTCGGTTATGACTCGTATATACGCCAATACTACACCCTTTTAAAGAAAAATTATTTACGCTTTCAATTTTTCTTTTTCTTATTTATGACGTTTCTGACACTACATCATACGTAGAATCAAGGGACACTGGGGTGTTTTGACTTTGACTTGACTTTGAATGACATGGTTACTTAACCCATGCAGGCTAATATTACAATTCAATTCATATTTATATTTATTCATACAATTCAGTTCAACCTATTGGCTAAATACAAATTCTATACGGTATTACTAGTAATGGTAAACCAAACTTCATATTTAATCTGTCTGACTCCAAATTCATTTAATAATGTTATCGCATAAAAAGAAACTTACAAAGTACCTACGTTTGTATTTAACATGCTTCTACATATAAATTCGACGAACTGCATCAGCAAATGCATAAAAATTCTACTTAATGGTACGTATTAATGGTCGTACATTAAAAAGAAACAAAACGAACGAACGAAACAGTTTAAATGTGTTATTACAATAAAAATACTAAATACGTACGTACCCGATATCTAATCGTGGCGAGGGTGGAGGGCGGGCGGAGGCGGACGCAGTGGGTGCAGATTGTCCTTCGCAACGGTGGCCCTGAGTTATCGCTGTCACAACAATGTCGCTAGCGGACACAAGTCATTCATTCCAGCCGGCTTATTCTCTCTCTCTCTTATCGCCTTTTTATGCTGCATGCTTTCGATAAAATTTCACAAAATTTTGCAAGATAACGCAACTATGACGTATTGTTATGAAACCTTTAGCGTCAAATGAAAATTTCAATGAATGAAAAGGCAAGAATCGTCAATGATATGAACGTATACCTATACCGTATTTCCACTTGAATCTTAACCGAAGCGCGGGAATATGTCACAATCATAATGTTCTCGGAAAACGTTCCAAATTTAAATGTGGATAAATGTCGTATCTCGCGCCATCTCGCCACATGACGGAGGCCGGGAGAAATAAATTATTGGTACCGGAAGTGACGTCCCGAGTGCGCTCAATTTAAAACAGAGCACTCGGTGGCAGAGCGCCGGTATCGTTTACAGCGAAAAAATATAATTGTGGGCTGCTATACCATAGACCCTTCAAATTTGCTTTTAAATGTTACATTTATTCAACATTGTGCGGAAAAAAATAACCATCATTGTCAGACGTCGTCGTTCGTTCCCCAAATTGCAGGAAACGAAATATTTTAACCTTAGACCCGGGCTAATAGAGAATATTAAATTGAATTTCAAATCAGTGTCCAATCGGTTCTGTATAATCTAACCGGCCGGATGTTTCGGACTTTTTTAATTAGTACAAAGGTTTGAATTCTTTTAAAAAACCTTTCGGGTTGACAAGTCGGCAATGGGCTTGTGCTGCAGGCATATATTTCATTGTATATACGCCGTGACTTTATATTCATGACTTATTTTTTTTTTTACTTATTATGAATAGTCATGTACATGAATTTACACATTACCGTTACCGTTTAAAACAATTTTTCGCAATTGCTCTATATACGATACTTCTAATCGTAATCATTTTAAAACTAATACAGAAATTTAATATCCAAATATTTAGTCTCTCAAGATTATAAATATCGAGAGAGCTTTTAGATTTTGATGATTTTATCCCTTTAAGAATATGAAGGAAACTATTCGATTTTGATGATAATGATGATTAAGCCTTTTAAGAATACAAAGGAAGAGCCAAAGACTTTAAACTCCTACAGAGCACTCGTATTTCGATCCATGACAGAGTTGGCAGAGATTCTTACGTATCTAAACATTCACAGAGTACAAAAACGTGACAGCAAAACTTCCACCACAACAATCGCATATCTAGACTATTTTACTATTCGAAAACCGAAGCACGCCAACGGTTTTAAAATATATTATCTATGGCGTATTTCTGTTCGGAAGCAACCCCTGTTCGACAGCTCCGGATGATCGCCTCTGTACGGATTTATGGGCCATTCTTTTTTTCAGTGTTTTTATCTAAAAAAGATTGTTTATCTTGCACTTCCGTCGCCTGCCGCGGCCGATACGCTCACTAGCGCTTTATTGTTTACACTTAATGTAATTCAAAGCAGGGAATTCCTCGGTAAATTGTGTTTTTAAAATTAAACGCCGCCGCCATGAAGAGCAGTCCACCCGATGAATATCGATCGCCGCTATTTCAATGTTACTTTGCCTTTTTGCGATCGACATTACGCGGATGCCATACGTAATTCGCCTCTTTTCTTTGCCGCCGGGCCGTACTCCCGATAGAAAAAATAAGTAGACTCCTCAGAGCCTATTACTATTTACCTCAGTAAATAAAGAAAAACAATTGTCTATGGTATAGATATTCTTAGTCTTCGTGTATTCTTAAGTCGTCCTATTGACAAGATTAACATATTCAGACGCCATTATTGGTGCCATTGATGGCTCCGTGGCGCAGTGGCTAAGGTATTGGCTTCGGCGTCAGGGGTCGTAGGTTCGATTCCCACACAGAACAACTAATTGTATGACCCACAGATAGTTGTTCCGCATCTGGGTGTTTGTCCGCGTGAAATTTATGTTTATAAAATGCCCTTACAACACAGGATAATGTTATCGTAAAGGAAGGGCGATGTTTACTTATTCGATGTTTAAAAAAATAATTAAAGTTACATAGGCGAATCTTATGACACATATTTAATGATTAATATGTATGAATTGGTCTCGTTAGAATATTTCAATTTCCCTTCGAGGCCGCTGTGCCGCGATCCCGGGAGATTGTTCCAGAGACAATATCCCGCGTGTGTTTATTTCCGCGGCCCATATTCAAATATGGAAAAGTCATTTCCCGCGCCATTTCCCATCGCCACGGAGCTTCCTCCACGTTGCTAATTGCATTTCACTGCGAAGATGCCGCGGTTTTGCTAAAATGCCGAACAAGAAACTAACTAGCGTAAACTTGTTGCCGTTTAGAAATTCATATTAGTAAATAACATTTTTATGAATAGTTTCCTTAAACAAAGTGATGTTAGCACTCCTTATAAATAGTACTCGGAGGACTTTTTTTGGTAAATCGTGTATTTTGGAAATTACATTTAGATACAAATTATTGAGTAATGAAATATGCATAATATTTTTCGATCTTACCGACGTAATAATAAGAAAATATGAACTGATGTTTTTCACAAAAGAAAGAACTTTAAAAAAAAGGGAAAAAAATAACAAAATAACAAATCAACAAAAAATTTAAAATAAAGAAAGCAATGATCTGGAATCGAAAACAAAAGTAAAAAAATAAATGTGTAAATGATCGTGACACGAACCACGGCCGTCTGTTTTGGGGCCGCCCGATTACCGACCGAGCTATTTTGACATTTTCTCTTGCGGCGAAATTTACCGTCATATTCGAATTATATTTTTCATTCCCTGAAAACAGGGATAAAAGGACATTTTCTAAAAATGAAACCTAGCTAATTCGATTTTTCGCCCCCGAATCTATGCACATACTAAATTTCATGAATATCGCTGGAGCCGTTTCCGAGATACCGATTATATATATATACAAGAATTGCTCGTTTAAAGGATAAGATATATTTCTCCTGTAGTACCGCGTTTCATTTTAGTTGCTATGGTAACTTACTATTATCCATTGGTTTTAAATTTAAATAGAAATATTAGAGGTTATACTTGTATAAGCTGTAACAGGGCAGCAATTCTCTGTTTTACTTATTTATTCCCAATATGTATAAAAGTTCCTACAGCGCTGCTTTAGGAATATTTTTATATTTAATTATAATACAGACCATTATTAATTAAATCAATGTCTCATTCAAAGGATCCTAGTCATCAATCCTATTGCGTATGTGGCGCGGCATGCTAACTTGGCAATAAAAAAAAACAATTCGGATCTTCCGACATCGAAATCACTTCCTCCGGTAGACAATGGCCCACTGTATCCGGCTGCACACGTGCTCAGGTGTCTATTATCCCCCGGGACCTCATCGTCCCCCATATTTCTATTGTGCTTTCGGGTCCACCCCTCGAAACTTGACCCGGTTTCTGCCCAGCGCCGCCCCCCGGGATTCTTCCCTCCCACCGAATCAAATTCGCGACTAAACCGACGATATCTTGAGATAACACATCTGTCATTTACCTGCATAACATCATACCCCCTCTCGAGCCACACGTTACAAATAAAGAACAGTTTAATAATTTTATGGTTATCCTATAGTCATTTATGATAAATATTCAAATAACTCAAACACACAGATGGACATCGGTTAATCTGTCTAAAATTAATCTTAACAGGACTTATTTTCAGAAGAATATTAATCTTTTACTTCTATTGTGTAAACATTGGTGTAATAGATGCCTCCTCCTGCGTTTCTAAAAACTTCGATATGTTTCGATTTATTAAATAATCTGGAACGGAAAGTAAGAACTTATGGCAAGAAACCATCAAACAATCATATTTAAGTTAACGATCTTACTCCAAGCCAACTTTGTTTTATTTAGTTCTTATTAAAATATTCACGGCTTTAGACAAAGATGCCGCACAAAAGGTATTAGAATTCAAACGGTTTCCCCGAGTCGTACGGAGCGTCCAAACAATGCTAGCCGACGTCAAGGTCGTATAGCGTCACACCACATCTCATAACCATTATACATAATTACGATTTACCTCGTCACCGGCATCATGGGAATTAGTGGAACAATTCGCCTGCTTGAAATTATTATTGTTTCTTTTTTTCCATCGCGTTATTATAACGCCTCATGTTGCCAGTATCGCACACACAGATAACATTGTAATAAAAAGCTGTGTTAGCTATGTCGTAATCGTAAAAAAAGTCGTAATATTAAATAATAATATAAATAATTATGTAAGCAGTCGCTCTAAGTTATGATCTAGTTTAGTTTTTGAAATACACATAATTTTAAGTTTAAAAGTATAATTGTACGTTTTTAAATACAAGGGAGCTCTTTACGTTTAAATGAGCAAATGCGTTGTTTGTTAAAAGTTAAACCGTGTTCAGTTAGTTCGAGCGTATAATTTGCTAAAGTTATTTTAGTACCCCGCTATATTTCGCCACTTCCAACAATGTGTATGTGTTTCTACATACATAATTCATAACAGTTCTATTCGTTGGAATAGCTTCTATATTTTTCTCCGTTCGTAGTATACATACAACGTAACATATATCAACGTCGTTTTCCTTGAACAATGAGCAGGAAAATGTACAATGTAAGTCGCGTACCGTTAATTCATTGCTTGTTTACCGCCGTGTGCTCTTCTGAGCTCCGAATGCTTGCCTCCGTTAATCGGAGGTCGCTGGTGCCCGTGCTAATTTTTATCGTGTAAGGGGGGTGACGAAAATCAACGGTCGCGCAACAGTTGGCTCCGGCGGCTGGCAGGTGGCGTGACAGGTCGACCGCTGGGCCCCGGCCGCGTTCGTCTACGCTCGGAGCGGTTCGGCGCACACCGAGGCCGCCCTCTCTCGATGCGCACGAAGACGAAAGCGCCCGAAAGCTCAGTCGACTGTAAGACGCCGCGCGCGACGGTGGTGCGTCACTTCGAACTGCTGAACGTGTCCGCGTAAACATTTTCAACGGTCCATCGCGAAATCTCAATATTTTTAAAATAACTTTAACTTCCTCTAGGGCTTGCTGCTATAGGAAAGCTTTCGTACGCACACTTTTCTCAATTTACGCGCAACATTGACGGAGTGGACGGTACACTAGGATCAGTGCGTGATTGTGATGCGGTGGTGAAGACGGATCCAGGCGAAAGCGCAGCTATGCTCCTCGTGGAGGCGCCGGGCGAAGCGGCCGGGCCCTTGGGCGCGACGCCCCTACACCTGCCCATGGCGACGCTCACCAAGCTCAACTTCACGGACTTCAGTGCCAAAGTGAACAAGCAGTACGCCAGCAGTAGTGCCACTGAGAGGGATGGCGGCAGGCTGTGCTACGATAACGCGCTGAGCGCGAGACTGAACTATGAACAATCTGTGTGCGGTGTCGGAAAACTTAGCTACGCCGACCACAACAGGCTTGCCTACGACCCCACGTTAGACAATATCAACTCGGACACATCGTTTGCACTGCCTGCAGGTTAGATTCCTTTATATTTTTTTTGTCGAACACATTTCTTTCGGTGCTTTTTTATCATCACACATCTTATACAATATCAGAACTTCATCTGTATGTTGATTTCGCTAGATGTGGATGTTACTTTATACACGTTTAAATAACATGTTCTCGTATTGTTCTTATCGTGTACGCTCCGAACAAAGCTCAGTATTTGTTTCAGGAAAATGGTAATTTAATTAACGAAGGCCTTCTGTGTTTTCTTATCTTCAACCGACCTCGTTAAAATATTTTTAAATTAAGAATTATACGTTTTCAATGAGACCATTAAATATTTTAGTTGTTTTATAAGAAATGATTAAAATGTAAATTGCGTAGTAACTACGATAAGAAGGAAATTGTACATATTGGCACTTAAAGCAACATCTGTGTTGCTTATATCATCAAATTTGTAAATGATGTTATTGTGGCTTTATAGGTAAAATGAAGAAATCAGTTAATTCTTAAACTTTATGTTATATGAGCCGTCGGGCAATTGAAAAATATTTTCTATAAGCGATATAATAAAATGTATCGCATATACACATATTCTCTTTCCAATTTATAAAAAATGCTGGCATTAATCTAAACTACGTTTAACAAATAGTGTACTTGCTTCGTTTCTAGTGTTCATTCATTAATTCGACTCTGTGATTTGATACGATATGACAATCTATAATCGCGACATCCCCACAGATTATATCAAAGCGCGTTGTTCCATCGATAGCCGAAGACCGCGGCCGGAAGTACTTTCGCCGTCGCCATGTTGGATCCGGCGCGGGCGCACCTCGCGCTTCCGCCGCGTGCCGCGCATAAAAAGCTCCGCGCGAACGTCACACAGGCGCCATTTGCATACACAGATACGTGAAAATAATTTGAACGTCTGAATAATCGCAGTTATTCAATAGCGAAGTTTTAACGACACATCTAACGAGTGCTAATAGCTAACATGGATAATACCGAGTCCTCGCTTTAAACAAGTCGAAGAAAATTTATTGTTTTAGTCATATCACATTGTGTCAGAGTTTGCACCTTTAAGTAAAAATATTGTGGCGCTGACAACACTGTTTACCGGATATGACGTTTCTACTCGAGCTAAGTAAGGGACACATGGTCGCATGGAGCGGTGGTCACTTGGATGTCGACTGCGTTCCCGGACGGTGATATAACCACTAATGCTGCTTGTCGTTATAATAGTTGTTAATATTCAAGTTCAGTAATAGTTAAAATATTAGGATCAAGGTAAAAACGTTAGAACTCTTATAATATATCCTCGGTAAAATCACCCTTTCATCAGTTATAATATTATTTTATGCGTAACATAGTGTAAACAACAATTAAGGAATATAGCGAAAATTAATAAGGACTACTTTTTATTATTATTTCATTTGGACTATTCATTCCATAACATCTTTTAATGCAAGAATAATATATCATTAAGTAATAATAGACAAATTGAACAAAACTGATGGCACGTACGATTTACGATTCGCGTGAATATTCATACAATTTGCTCACGGTATGATCGGTGTTGATTTGTTTGAGCGCGTTATAAGGGTGGCGATACACTCAAGTACGTTTCGCACTTAAGAGAACTCGTGGCTTAAAAATAATCTACTAAAAACAACGGCACGGACTAAACTTAGCGTATCGTATTAGGAATGGTATAAGAATAATATAAAATCAACGTTAATAACAAAATTCGATTCTGTTGGATGTATATATTCTGAGATGGTAATCGACTAGGCTCTCGCAAAGATAAACTATTAACTGCCGCTTATGGTACCCTTGGTTTTTGCAGTTGCTGTGTCCACCTTTAATGTGAGCCCGGTTTCTTTACTTTTAAAGAAACCATAAATAATTTTCTTTAAACTGGTCTGATGGTCCTTACTGTTCTAATTATTTAAACCGGTCAAACATTTTAACAATAGGTAGATTGATTTACCGGCGCTCGCTTTTAATTCAATATACTCCGACCTCCTGAGTTCGATCACCGGTGCCGGCACCAATGATATTGTTAATTTTCTAGCGGTGAAAGAACACACCGTGAACAACATGCATATTTTCGAAATAATAACAAAACTTAATATTTCGAAGATATGTGAAGTTCGTCAATTCATCTGTACAGAGGACGCCTTTGCCCAGCAGTAGAATATATTAGGTTGGGGAAAGTCTTTTCGCAAATAGTATGTATGAACTTATAATATAATATCTTTGCCTATACCATTTTTCAAAGATTTTCAAAGCCCAATTTTCAAAAGGTTGTCAACGCATCTGTAACCCCCGGGTATAGCAGATGTCCATGGGCGGCGGTATTCCAGGTTACTGCCAGGTAGGACCATTGATTCTGAACTCTACTGCGAACAACTGATGAGATTAAAGCAAGAAGTTGAGAGAAAGCGGCCGAAATTAATGAACAGATGGGGTGTGGTTTATCATCATGATAGCGCTAGACCTCACACATCTTTAGCCACTCAGCAAAAATTAAGAGAGTTTGGCTGGGCAGTGTTAATGCATCCGCCGTATAGTCCTGACCTTACCTTTAGATTTCTACTTGTTTCGGCCTCTTCAGAATTCTTTAGGCAGTGTCAGGTTAACATCACGAGAGGACTGCCAAAACCACTGGTCGCGGTTTTTTTATCAGAAGCCCCAGAATTTCTATATCAATGGGATCACTTCCCTACCTACAAGATGGCAGAAAGTTGTCGAACAAAATGACACCTACATACTTTAGTTAAAAGTAAATAAAGTTTAGTAAAAATGTTTCGAATTTTCGTATAAAATGCGAAGAAACTTTTTCCCCAACCTATTATATAGGCAGATACATACATAGGCTTTAGATTGACTTCGCAAAAACTTTACACTTTCCTGAATCATTTTAATACAGATTATGTAATTTTCATACCCGAACTTACTCTAAAGTTTGCCATGAACCTCCTAGCCGTCTGCTATATGCAGTAGTCCAATGTGATATGGCCCTAACGCTAAGCGAGACGGTCACAAATGGTAACCAATAGGAGTTAACGGTGCAGGTCGCTCACCTTTCAGTAATCGCCTCGTTCCTTTTACAGGCCGTCGAAAATCTCATTCGCATGCTACGAAGACGCGACCGTAATTCGTATGCACCACTCCCAATTCGTAGACGGCTTAAACCCATACCATATAAAGTCGCGGCCGCAGTGCGTTGGCACCATAAATTCAATTTATCGCATTCGAAGTTGTATTAGACGGAGCTAAGTATCAATAATATAACATTAGCGCGGTCACTTTGGCAGGTGCGTTTGGGGTTGTTCGATTTAATGTTCTTAAAGCTGCCGTACATGGAAGATAAATAATATTGTATATCACGTGATTAAGATCTGACGTCTTGCAAGAGCCAAAAAATAGAAACCGCACAAAATACTACGGTAACGTGCTCTCCAATAAGTTAACCGGTTGTTAATAGTCCTATTAGATCCTTTGCTAACCCTCCATCTATGTTATTAAATCATCACATCATGTCCGTTTATATTTAATGACCGAGCAACACTATGCATATATTTGTACTAACGGCCTCACTGTAACACGCCAATTGGCGGTTAAAAGGCATTAAGAAATTCAATCCTTAAAAAATATTAATTAGTATCCGTCTGACAAATAGACAACTTTAATATCAAGTCGTAAACGACGTGTCTGGGTGCGAATTAGTAAAAAAAACACAAAGCGGAATATTGAAACTGGCCATAAAGTGATACATTAATCAGAATTTATACTTAAACATTTTATAAACGCGACATAGTTTTTTTACGATTTTTAACGCACATACCAATAAAAATACAATTCTATTGACACCTATCACATGACTCCATGCAAGCGCCATATTTATTCAACTTTGTCACCTGAATAACCTTTAGCAGCATAGTGGCAGCCGGCTGGCGAATTTATATGCATTTTCATTAATTAACCTAGCCCAATATCGTTAGGACATTCTGACGGTGGACGTTAGACAGGTGTCTAACGCGGACTGCTATAGTGACTCCATACGCACCTGTTCCGCAGATGATTCTCCTAATACGTTTCGAATAACTCGGCTACGTTAAACGACGAACAACTATCGCTAATATATATTTTATCCATATTAAATTATTCATACATATTTCATATTTTTATCTATGAACGTATGAATGATTTAGCAAAAAGTTAAGCTCGGTACAAAGTTATATGCGGAAGAATTTTATGCTCACTAAATTGTTATGCAATTTGTTCATTACACGAGATTTTTTTTCCAGCACACGTATGGAGATATAACCTTATTTATATTAGCGTGAAGGAAAAATTTAATGCTTCAATACTTTTAAGCTGTACCACGTTATAAAAACAATTTCCATATAAAACTAGAATAGTTTATAAAAGTTTTTTCTAAAGTTAAATTCTCTTGTACACATACATTTTAATTCATTCTATGGCGTAACACGTTTACAATAATCAACATATTTTTGTGTCGTTAATTAAAATAATTACAATTTATATAACTTTGCGTGTTTCCAAGATTTTATCATCAAATATTTTGTTATTACCTATATATAGTTATATTTTTTCCATATTACTAAAACATATTTCTTTTAGAAATTAAAACTTACTAAAGCAAAAATGTGACATCAGCAACGTCAGTTTTAACTCGTCAGTATGTAATGTAATTGAAATCCAAATGATTTACATTTTTATGCCAAAATATACATAATACTACTTCATAGCATATTTTAGAATAAACTATAATAATTTAATATTAATATTCAACATTGGATATCTACAATACGACGTCATTGTCTCGTCGCCGGTGACGTCACAGCCGCAATTCATTCATACATCAAAATGGCCATATCCGCCCGCCGCCAGCGACTGCTCTATCATATTTTTAAATCGGCTTCCGTGCATCTGTTGGTGTGTTAACTCAGACTCCTCACTAGTGATTTGTGATTTCACTCTTAAATAAGTACATATAATATTTATAGTTAATAGAGACTTACTCAAACCTTTTTAATCAACGAAATACATATGTTAACCATTTATACAGAGTTAATTGTGTTATATTATATTAAGACTCATATTTTTGTACAAATAATTATTTGGACACCCTTCGACTTTGCACTGTGCAACTAAATCGCTCAACCAACACACTCACCCGCTCGATTGGCAACTTTTATCATAAAAAAGTTCTATGATGTATCGACGGTTCAATACGCCGAAATTAATACGGGACCACATGGGAGCTAAACGGAACCCAATGCAAAAATAATTTTTAAAATCCCTCTATAAACGATGGAGTTCCAAGGTAACAAACATAAAAAAATACCAACCCAATTGAGAACCGCCTTTTTTGAAGTCTGTTGAAACGCCACAATGAAGGAAAACGCTCATGGTGCATACGTCTTTATCTATTTGATATTTATACCTTCGCAACGCCTGCGTGTGACGTAGGACGCGTCACGTAGTTCCATTGATGGTTCCGTCGCTCGTAGCGCCGCTACATCCTGTCGGTTGGACGTCTGCTGGCATCCATTAAACGTACTTACATCCATTCATGTCTAACCTGTTCGTTCCTGTTTGCCAACATCCATAAAGTCCACACAAAAATCTATTTTCCAAATCCTCGAATTCTACCACTTATGTGGGTAAATAATACAAACCATTGGGGATCATTAATTGATCGTAAGCCCCGCGTAATTATTTTAATATTCCCAAACTAATATACCGTTTGCGTGCAAGAGAAATTACGATTATATTGTTTACAAATACCATGTTCACCAACTACAGAATGATGACAACACTACAAT